AATCCAGAACATCCCAGAGCCACAGCCTTCACTTTGTGTTTCCTAAAACACCGTATGTTCTCGTCCGGACACACGAGTTCAGTTAACTCTAACGGAGGACGACGGGGAAGCTGCTCTGTTCTTACGACTAATCTCTGTTGAGAACGCGTCCAAGGCCAAGAACCTCAGGCCCGGGAGTCGATTCATCATCCTTCACAGGTCATCCATCACCAGCAGCAGGCGCTGTGCTGCCCCCGCTGTTAGACTCCTGTGCTGCAGGCTCCCACCTGCGGCGCTGTGATTTACTCAGTCTGTTCAGTGTGAGGATGAGAACTGGCAGCAGCTGTGGTGTGGTGTGTGTGTGTTTGTCACTCCCTCAGAGGTCAGAGGTCAGACAGAAATCATCAGAATCAGTAGTGAGTCAGGATTATGTCTTGGATCGTTAGAGTTTGAGACCCGGCTCTAACTTAACGGTTCCTTCATCTACGTTCTTAGAGTTTTGTTCTGGTTTGTCTTTTTTTTTGTCTGTACTTTTTTTTATCATGTAGTTTATCAGACAAAATTGAATAAACATTGAATATCGTAAATATCTACAGTAGTGGAGTAGATTTTTACTGAGGTCCGATAGTAACTTTTTGCCTATATCCGATATCAACTGATACTGATATAAGCAGCTGTTTGGGTTAAAGGCAGAGGAGTTTATTTTTGTGCTGAGTCACAATGACAATAATTCACTTCAAAACTATTTTAGATCACATTATTTGGGGAAACCCTTCATTATCGCAAGAAAAAAAACGATAATAATTCTTACCGTTGTTACATAATAACGCTAATATCCACCAATATTATCCCTAATTTTTACTTATTCTGAATTTATTTTATTTATGAAAATGTTCGTAAAAATAAAAAGCCGTCTCTTGGTGTTATATCCAAAGCAGGAGAAACACAGTTTTAATATCTGCAGGTTCTTCTGCTGTCGTAAATGTAAATACTCGTTTAAAAAAAAAAAAAATCAAAAAAGTCAAAAAAGTCCTCGTGTGGTATAATAAAAGTGGATAATCCAGCGCATTAGTACGAGTGAGGACGGTTATGTTCTAAGCCGCTCAGGCCGTGTGGGAAAGAAGAGAGGCGATGAAGAAGACGCGGAGGCCACTGCGTCGGCCACGATCCCTCTGTTTAAAGGCTTCCAGCCAGGACTAACCCCGGCTTCAGGAGACACATGTGTCCACATCTGTGTGTGTGTGTGGTTTATATTGGCCCAACGATAGAGGAGAGGAGCAGAACGACCACAGACGTTATTGACGCATCAGATAAATATATAGAGCGACCTGTTGACCTTTGACCTGAGGGTCTCTGGACATGACATGAGGCTTGTTTTTATATTTATTCCTCTCCCCTGATGGAAGTAGGAAACTCAGTCAAATCAAACTCTAAATCAGTGACTTCCCAACGTCGACACGTTCACAGCTAATGCTTAACACAGGCGTGGGCAAACTAAGGCCCGGGGGCCGGATGCGGCCCATTCAGCTTTTTAATCCGGCCTCTCCGAACTTTTTTTCAAATTATATAATTTATTTATATTATTATTATACTTTTGCCTTTTTCCCTGCAATACCCACGTTTCCCCAGTAGGTGGCATTTTAGCCTTTTTACATCATCATTTATCTTCACCCAGTTGTGGTGAGTCAAAACGTTTGACCACGCCCTGGATTAACATCTCATTTTGAAACTCTGTGATTCCTACAAAACTCCAACGACAGAAATTGACTGGTCCAAATAAATAAAAAAAAAATGATAAAAATGTAATTCATTCAACTTGCTGGGCACATTCTGCAAGTGCTTCACGCCCCCGTGAGTGGACGCCGACCCACGCCTTGGCAACCGCTACTCCAAACGGAGCAAAGTAGGAAAAAACAACAACAACAACCAATGAAAACGCCTTCGGTCGAACGGCGCTGATGTTTTACATGAACTGAAGTCGTCACATTTTCATATTTGGAGAGAAAAACTGAAATCACAGGAAAAGAAAAGACACATTAGTGTCATTCTTCCCCTTGTGGTCGTGCTGCTGCCCTGCGCCTGCTGAAGAGGCGAGCTCCGGTTCAGTCTGGAAACAGGATGTGGGCAGCAGAGCTGGGCATCTGCCACATGCCAGGAATCCTCTGGAGCTCATTTGCATAGGTTATGTATGTGTGTGTGTGTGTGTGTGTGTGTGTTTGTACAAGAGTTCAGTTTGTATCTCGGTGTCCACAGCAAATGCCTGTATACGTTTGTGTTATTGTGAGTGTGTTTTTGAATATTTGGAGTTTATGTCACCAACGTTTTTTTCACCAGCCATGAATGCGTATCTGTGTTAGCGCGCGCTGCCGTCTTGTCTACTGCGTAGGCTGCGTTTCCCGTCTCAGCGGCCTGCACCAGGCATCCTCGCTGGGACGGTCTTCAGCCCACCCTGGAACGGGCCAGGACGGGCCGCCAGGCTGTCTGTCTCCTCCAGTCCGTCATCGGCCTCACCTCCTGATCTTTCCCCTTTGGCAGAGTAGGAGTCCAGACAAAAAAACACTGGAAAAAAAAACATTATTTTTTGTCCTTTACAGTTTTACAAAAATGAAAATAGAAAACTTTGAAAATTTCTCAACATTATTCTGTTACTAAGAAGTTTCTATGGTTGTGACCAAGATCATGACCTTGGTTTAAATGATGGTAAAACAACACAGGCGACATTTGAACACGTACGAACCGACCAATAGAAAGACAGATGTCTTTCACACTGTGATCTGACAGACGATGAGTCAACCTTGGCTGAAAATTTAAAAGAACTTTTGTCAAAAACAGATTTGTACAAAAATGTCAATTAAATGCAAAATATTAAATGTTTTTCAAATGATACACAGATTTATAAATTCCAGTTTAAACATGCACAAAAAAATTTTTTTTTTTTTAAATTGACTCTGCGGGCCACATTTGGCCCCCGGGCCTTGGGTTTGACACATATGCCTCAGGGGTTGCACACACCCTGTTGAAAACCCGCTAATCCCCTGGCGTCATTCTGGTTTTGTTTTTTTTTTAATTTAATTTTTCTTTAGAAAACACTGAGAGTCAGGAGCGCTGGGCTTTAGTTTGACAGGTGCCACGTTGTTACTCTGCACCGCGACACTGGTAGAGAACAAGTGTGTTCTTGAAAGAACCACCTCAGTGAAGCAGGTCCTGGTACGGGCTCTGAACATACCAGCGATAATCCCTGGGTTTTTTTTGTTTTGTTTTTCGTCACAGAACCTGAGGGTGTGATCTGACTGTGCCGCGCCCTCGTCTTAATCCTGGCTCCGTCCCCTGGAAACTCTGAATGCTTCAGACTGGTTTAAACAAACAAATAACCCCAGAGGGAAACCATGAGAAATATAGGCAGCCATCAGCACCTTGGTTTGAGTAATGAGGGCCCATTACTGAGGTGAAAGATAGCTGGATTTGTGCTGAGACGGCACCGGTGATTAATGTTGTCATGCCACGTCCGTTTTCATCCCATGAAGCTTTGCTCTCGCAAGTGCTAATTAATTTTGTGCTCTTTTCACAGAGGGCAGTAATTTCTTACAGCCGGGCTTTATGAGCTGGGTTTTAAAAATATCCAACGCGGTGGAGTCTGAGAATATGTCGTTAATATGTCGCTAATCACGCAGAGAGATGTTTAAATAAAGACAGACGCTGTTCACAGAGAGAAATGTCATGTGACATGAAAAATACACCAAATAAATATTTTTAATTTTTTTTTATTTTTCCTTTTGCTTCTTCAATACATTTTAGGAACACCAATATTTAATACATGGCCATTAATCACACTCATAATGCTGTACATGTTCATCATAAAGTGGAAGAAAAGTTCAAGTAAAGTCACCTTTAACCAACTAAATCAAGATTATATTCTGGATTATGTGACGACTGTAACATCTGCTAACCACAGCCCCGCCCCCATCGCTCTGAATAAATAAATAAATAAATAAACCAACCCCAGTCTGACTCAGTGTAGTCAAATGATCTGAGGTGAAGTGAGAGGTCGCATTTATCCAAAAAAAATTATCGCAAAAAAATTGCTAGCATTAGTGAAGTATTCCACAGCCTTGAACTGCTGGACGTGTCTCGACTCTGTGTTTGTGCCTTATCTTCACTTCAAAGACTTCAAAGACATCACAGCACAGTTTAATTGATGTTACGTCTGGTCATGTAGTACTTTTTTTTTTTTTTTTTGAATACCGTCTACTCTTTAATACCGGCCTCTAATCATTTCAGATTTACAGCAGGTGGCGTTGGCGGCGGCGTCCGCGGGGAGCCACTGGTTGTACCTCAGAGGTACATCATTAGGAAGTGTTTAGGAGTGAGTCACGTTGTCCTGTGACGCTGAACCACAGGACGTTTAAGGTCTCATTATTTCCGTGCCGTTTTGAGTGCGAGGTTATTTTTAAACACAGGATAAAAAAGTCTGATAAAATCCCAGACCGCCGTCCTACAGGACATTCCTTCAACTCAGACTTTGTCGTCTCTAGACTTGCCTGCTGAAAACTGTGAGCCCTCCATTGACTTGACTGGCACGCTGTGATTAGAGTTGAACACCGGGGGCGCCTGCGCTCTGCCGACGCGACTGGCTGTGGATTTAAAACCACTGAAGAAGAGAAAAGTCACACGTGAACTGGTGGTTTTTTTGAAACACAACAGTCACTGTAGCTGCGTCTCCTTACGCTGTAGTCAGAGCAAGTTAGCAGCTAATGTTAGCAGCTAATGTTAGCAGCTCTGTCTGGACTCTTGTTGGATTTTAGCCTGAAGTTTACACTCCAGAAATCCAATAAAAACTCTCTGTTGTTGTTCTTATGAGGTGATTAGCTCAAAAAAATCCCTGGATAAAAGTTTTTAAAACTGGTGGGAGAAAAGCTCCACCCAGAGGTTTCTGTGTTGTTCATCCCATTCTACAGGTGTTGTGTTTAAAACTGTAATTTTGCCTCGAAACTAAAGTCGTGCTGGTATTGTGAATTAATTTAAATGTGAATTAATAACATTTCTGACATAATTACACTATGAATTCCATAATTAAAAATCAGCTTTTATTCAAGTAGTTTGTGAAACAATTTGGTTCAAAATGATAAAATGTATTCTAAATATACCAAACTTGTTTTCCTTTTTTTTTTTAAAAAAAAAAAGGACAGAAAAACATGTTTTTCTCTGTCTTTCCGTTTGATCCTGTGGTAACGTGGTGTCAGCCGGCTGATTACTGTAGGAAATAAAACAATATTTCTGATTTAAATCGATGACAACAGCTCTCTGGTGAAGCAATCACAATAATGTATATAAACTATTTCTCTACAGAATAAAAAATAAAATGACAAACTAATGTAAAAATCAGTTTTATCTTTCCTCATTAACAGATGAATCTTTTGGGGCGATTCCACCGTCTCTCCGTCTCTTCTGCCCCGGCGCAGCAGACCATTAGTTATGTAATGACGGGTAAACATTTTAGACAATTACAAGGCAAACAGACAAACGATCAATGCCTTTCAGCCTCAAGAAATATGAGCCGCCTGTGGACGAGGATCCCAGCACCTCCACTGATGAGTCGGAAAAAACAAAACAGGAAAGAAAAAAAAAGAAAAAACAAAACCCAGTTCCTGTAAGGGATAAAAAAAGAAGGACGAGAAAAGGCTTCAAATAGAAGAGGAGAGGTTTGTGTGTGTGTGTGTGTGTGTGTGTGTGTAGGTAAACATGCAAAGTGGAAGACATTTGGAGGAGATATGTGAAGGGAAAAAAAAGTGAGCGAGAGAGGTTGAGAGAGAGAGAGAGAGAGCGAGGCACTAAGAGCCGGTCGTTGCTCAGTGAAGACTAATGCAATTTCACCAATAAGAGTTTCTCCGTAGAGATTGTAAAAACAAAAAAAGAGGGAGTGAAAGACGAGAGGCAGGGAAGGAGAAAAGAAAGGAGGGAGTGAGTGAGGGAGGAGAGGAGAGAGAGGGAGGGAAGGAGGAGGAGGAGGAGGAAGAGGAGGAGGAGGAGGAGGAGAACTGCGTCCTTTCAGACTCTCATATGGACAGTGGATCTCATGGGACAACTGCCTGAAAGTCTCTCTCTGTCTCCACTCTTCCACTCCTCGCTCCGCTGCCCTCCACAGTGATTTATCAGCTGAACAGAGGAGCAGAGGCAGAGGCAGAGCCACGGAGGGGCGCAGACCACTTCAGGGACAGGGAGGCTTGGTCCTACCAGCCAGCCAGCCAGCCAGTCAGTCAGCCAGTCAGCCAGCCGGGTGGGTCAAGTCCACATCTCCAACGTCTGACCTCTGTGGGAACGCAGCTTTTCTTACTCCTCGTCACAGACTGTGGGAAAAAGAAAAAGGACGACTGTTTTTTTTTGTGGTTTTTTTTTGGTTTTGTTTTTTTTTTTTTTTTTTTGCCCAGGACGTGACAGGGCAGCTCTGGCACGAGGACCTCGGTGGGAGAGCCGTGCTGTCACCACTGTAATGCCCTGAATTATTCTTGGATGTGAAACGGCACATTTGGCCCAGTCGGGTTGACATTCAGGCGGTTGGGCAGTTGTCCGTCCAGTCATTAGGGAGAGTCAGATGGTTACTGAGTGAGTCAGTAAACTGGTCAGTCGGTCGGGTCCTTCCCACAGGGTCAACTTTTCCATATCCTCATCTGAACTCTGAGCTGACTCACTTCTACTGAGTGGAGGATTTGTGAGCACGGTGAGTGGCAGAAACAAACCTCTCTCTCTCTCTCTCTCTCTCTTTCTCTTTCCTTTTATCCCAGTCGTTACTGTTGCTTCTCGTCCTCTTAAAAAAAAAAAACTTCTTCCATATTTGATTGCATTCATTTAGGCCGTCTTGTGTTGCTACTTTTAACCCTGCTTTTTGTCTGGCAGGTGACTCATTCACCAAACACAAGGCACTTGTTTCAAACCATCAGTGTGGATTTGGTTGCATTTGGGTTTTTTTTTTTATTTTTTAATTATAGTTTATTTCATTTATTTCCTTTAAAAAAACAGTTTTTGACTTTCTTCACAATGGTGTGAATAAATGCAAACATTTTCATTTTTTCTCTCTCTCTCTTTCTTCACACCTGGCTAACTTTTGATTGCTGTTGCAGCACTTTTCTGTCAACAGACCCCTGACTGTGGGGGTAGGGGGGATGGGGGGGGGGGCACCTTTTGTTTGGAAAAGGTCGTGGGCTTTGATAAAGTAACCCCACAGTCAAGTGCAAATAACATTTTGGACAAATAGTTCAAATATTTGAGCGCGCTCCAAGGTTTTATCCTGCTCTGCTAAGTCAGGAATTTCCCATCTGTAAGAAACACGGAGTCTAGAAGTGGCAGGAATGGAGCAGCAGTTTAAAAGTTTACCACAGAAGTTCACAGCATGGAAACTTTTTTTTTTTTTTTTGGCATCAACACTTTAAATTAGCTGAGAAGTGCGAAAGAGTTCGTGGTAATGACAAACAGATCCCGATCCCACCCACGTCCCTGCAGCTCTGCACACTGCACCACAGCCTTCTGCAAATGACGGGATGTGACCCCAAAAAACAAACCACTTTGATGTCCAACCCTCTCCTACTGTTTGGATTTCCCGTCGGATTTGAATATTCAGGAATATTTTTTCCTTTATTAGAAACAAAGAGCACGTACAGGACCGTGGCTAACATTCCCTCCCCTTTCCAGCTGAGGGTGCTATAAACAGATTTTGTAACCATGGGAAAACATTGTAATTTAATTAAAAAAAAAAATTGGCCCTATTTTTTCTTTCCACAGGAAACTCAGTAATTCAGGGTTTGGGGACGTTGCCAATTGGAAAAATACAAAATCTCACCGTGAGTCAGCGATTAATAACAATAACAGGAAACACGGAAATGACTCAGAACGCAGCAGCCAGAATTAACCACCAATTTGAGATTTTTTTTTTCTCAAGATGAATCATAATTTCCAAATATTGGGTTTTTTTCTGTCACTTTTGAAGCATATCGAATTTTTTTGCTCAAATAAAATTCTTCACAAATTTTTTTGCTCAAATAAAATTCTTCTTGACTCCTTCATCTCGACGGTGGTTCGTAACGAGTTTCTCTCCCAAAACTTGGAGGGTGAAGCTGTTCGACCGTATTAATCGGTCCACGGTCTCGTCACCGTCCATCTGTCAGTCGTGTCAGTCGGCCTGTCAGTCACTGATGGCCCCGCCCATCTGAAGCCTCGCCTCAAACGCACGCTGGCTGCTGAGATGATGTTTTAAGCTTGAGGTGCTTTGGTGAAATGAAAACTTTTCACCGCAGTGTGTGTGTGTGTGTAAATGAGATCATGTGTGTGTGTGTGTGTGTGAAAACGTCGATGAAATTATGGAACGTTCAGTTCAGTTCGCCTCCTTCTATATGGGTTAAAAAAATGTTTTTTTTATCAGATTGATTTGAAAAATGTAGCTAACACGTTAAATTTGACAGCGCCCCCCACTGAAAAAAGAGAGAAAATACAGGCAGAGGGAAACATTACTGCAGTTGTTTTTATCTTTCCTACTCCCGTCCTCATCCTACCCGTGGTAACCTGACACCTAGCGCCGCCGTCTGTCGTCTTTCCGCCCTCTCCGGGGCCAAATATCCCAGAATTCTCATTAAATCTGAACTCTTGCAGAATAATAAACCTCCGCTCTTTATCTGTGGCAGATGTTGACATGGGTGTTGTCCTGCGCAGCGTGAACAGATGTTTGTCATTGAGGTTGGGCTGCTAATTTGCCTGTCGTCAATCAACTTTTTATATATATGTGTGTGTGTGTGTGTGTGTGTGTGTGGCACACATGGCTGAGTGGTTTTGAATACGTCTGATTGCAGAATGTGCACCTGTGTGACTCCACGGTAGTCAGTGGTGGTGGTGGTGGTGGTGTGTGTGTGGCTGACCTGTGTGCCCCCCCTCCTCCCCCCCCCCCTCTTTCATGGTTTTGCAGCACTTGGTGCGTTCACTGCCTCTCCTCAGATCCAGTGCGGGGTGTTTAAGTGTGTAGGACAGCTCGGCCGTACATTCACCACAGAGAATTCCTGTCTGAGCCGTGTCAGTTACAACACGTATCCAGAGCCCTCTCAGCCAGGAG